TTGATAACTAGCTCACCTGAGGCCACAGATGACAAGATGCCAATGCGTCCACACTGGGGTTGCTGCCTTGGGAAAGGGCCTGTGAAGAGGCTACCACTGCAGTACTCACCAAGACAGCATGCTCCTCCTAGCAGGGTTTGGACTCTGGCCCAGAAATGCCAAATGCAGGCTTTGGGATTATCTGCATGGGCCAAAGTCCTGCAACCGAGTCTTGACTGGCCATATGGCTCAGGCTCTGCCCTCTTCTACAGTGCTATAGCTAGAGTCTCTTGGAGAACTTCATTACTGCCCCACCTCAGCATATGCGACTCAGGGACTCCTTCCCTTTAAAAAGCTGTGTCTGTTCGACAGCCAGAGACCACAGGGGACAACATGGTTTGCTGGCTCTTCACTGCCATTGTCACAGGAACTGACCTGTTCCATGGCAAACAAGCCTGTGGCTAATTCTACATTGTAGGACAACAGAAGGGGTTATTCAAGATCCTGTCTTGATGTTGGCTCTGCCCTTGGGCAGAGTTCATCTCCAGGGCCACAGATCAGTAGTAGTTGGCAAGGAAGCCTAGGCTGTCCAGGTACTGCCAGGGAACTATGCCCAGGTTGGGGCAGGGCTCAGGGGAACAGCAGGATGTCACCAAGATTCCCTGGACTCAGGTCCTGGCACTACTCAGTCATTCCAATTGCCAATGGGTAACCACTGTTCAAGCTGCAAAGCTCTGCTGTTTTTCAGCTCCTGCTTACTATGGTAGATGCTGCCATGCCAAGCAGGATACTCATGGGTCCTCATCCTGCACTTCCTTTCTGGGCCACTGCAATCTCCTATACTTTCTTAGCCACTGCCTTCTCATATGAACAACACTGGAGACAGTGGCCATCACCCTCTACCTGCACACAAGAGGAAGGGTGCAAGCTGAACTCATAAAGTGAACCAGTTTTTCTACTGAAAATGAAAAACTCCACCTAAGGGCCAAGTGTAGGATAAAAGCCTTAGGAAGAAGGGTGCTGTCCTACACCCTCACTCCTAAATGGGAGATGAAGCCAGAACACGTTACAAGGTAGTTCTCAACCTTGAGTTCTAGATTTTTTTTTTCCATTTTTGCCAAGTACTTCCTGTTCTCCAGCTCACATGCAGAAGTAAAAAACTGAGGCTGGAGTGAGGTGGAGTTGTGCACACCTTTATCCCAGCACTTGGGAAGGAGGTAGAGGCAGGTGAATCTTTGAGTTCAAGGTCAGCCTGGTCTACAGAGTGAGTCCAGAACAGCCAGGGCTACACAGAGAAATCCTGCCCTGGCAAACACATACACACAAATGCTCACACCAATTCAAGGTGGGGCCTCACAACAGCAGTGGGGCCTCCAGCTGTAGACCTATTCAGAACAAATGAGACACACTAATCCTGCTGAGGTGAACTATAGCTGGGATTGAGGCTGGGATTCTGCATCTGGCCTCTGAGGCAAGGATAGTCTGAGGCATCTACATGCTGGCCCTGATGCCTCATGGACAGGGAAATGGTCACTGAACATCCTTCTGTGTCTCTGGAGTTGCACATCATCTTCATTAGACATTATGAAAAGTGAAATTATGTTTTTCAAAATGGTATTGCCAAGAAAACAAAAGATTTCAGTTTTAGTTCACAAGTTCAGTGTTGTTTAATGTGGAATACAATTTTAAGAGAAAAGATAGAAGGTAGCCTGGTGTCCTTGCCATGGACAAAAAAAGAATCATGGGGCACTCAAGCTCACTGCTGGATTAGGAGCAAGGAGGCCACAGCACATCTCTCAGCACTTCCTTTCCCACTAAGCTCTGGCCTTTCCACATCTGCAGAAGACAGGGGCTCCAGAAAGCTGTAGAACTCATTGATTTTTCCATCAAATGGTGTATGGTCAGCAAGATCAAGAAAGGGACAGAAAGCAGTTAGTTCTTTAAATCCAAAGGGCAACTTTTTAAGAACCATGGAGGAGGGCATGGTAGCACCCTCTACAGCAAGGAATACTCTGCTGCCTTCCCATCCTTAGTATTAGCAGCAGGCATGGCTGCACCTTGACATTTTCAAACAGCAACTATCGATACGTTTTCCCAAAGCTCTCTCCGCGCCCATCCTCCAGTTTAGCCACCAGGGAAGTGGGGAAGGCAGTATCAGGGAAGCTGAGACATGGGATATGCAGCAGGAGAGCCATGACTATGCATTTGTCAGTACAAGAGAGTTGAGGCCAATGCAAGTATTCCACTTGGTTTCTTAACATGGAGACTTGAGCAAGCCTGCCCTGGTGCCTGGGGAATTCTTACAGAGGGATAGCTGGTTTCCCACATGGAGCTTGTGTAGAAGAGTACAAAAGAATAGTCAGGCTAGCCAGCATCTTACAATGGCTTACCTTAGGGTCCCACACTATCATTCCTGTATCTCCACACTGTGGTAGAGTATTCCTGTCCTCCTACAATTCCACCCCCGAAAACTGTTTGCCTAGTAGGACGAGCCTGGGAGGCAACATGTTGCCCACATTAAGATGCTCTTTGGTCCACTGGTCACAAGTTTTCCACACAGCCATGCTATGATCCACAAAGTGACAATCGTGTGGCTAAGCTGGTTTCCCAGCACAGCCTCACCCACAGCTTCCTCTGCCTCCTTTCAGTGACACTTATGCAAGGGTCATAGGCTGGTAAGTTCACTTCTAAGACTGAGAAACAAGATGAGGCCAGGGGCTTGTTTCCATTGAGATCACATGCTGCCCTTTTGGATCAGAAGATCTCTTCAACTTTAGAAGTCAATTGACCCAACGCTACCAATGGTCAGCAGCCAACTGAGGATGCTCATTGGCTACCTGCTCAGTGTAGGGCTAGACTGAGTTGGGTACCAGGACCTGCCAAGAAATAACACACATGACTTGAGTAGGGGAGACTCAAGAAGCTGGGTTGTCCCCAGTAGAGCCCTGGGGATAAGCCAGAATGATATCAGAGGTATAGGGTCAAATGGCTCCAGACAGCCAAGACATACTGGGAATGTGGAGAGGCCAAATGGCAGAGACTGCATCCAGCCTGAGGAATCAGAAGACTAGTTAGAGCTTCTGGAACCAGGAGCACATGCATTTCAGGATGCTCTCTGCTTGTCAGGTGACATAGCCAGTATGAAGTGGGGACCAGAGGACAGGGTAGTCAAGAGATGCACAGTCAGGAAGAAGAACAATCTACACCTCTGGGGAGGGGGAGGGGTGGGGACAGGAAGTATCCCTTTTCTAGGCTTGAGCACAGAGCCTTAATACCATAGCTGTGTTTCTCTCATTCAGCCTCCCATGCCAGGCAGTGTACAAACCAGGACAAAATAATGTGACAAGTCACCAGTGATCTTGGGTCTCTGTATATGTGTTTTCCAAAGAGCTCAACGGTTTTTCATTTATCACTTTTTTTCTAATCCTTTTTTTTTCCATTTAATTTTTCCCTCTCAGCCCCAGCAATTGTCTAGTACAGTGAGGGGCAGCTGACATTAAAGACCACAGGGCTGGACAAAGGACCACTCTACCTTCCTAGGGCTCTTAACTGATCAGCTCATCAACAGCATATACAGTGAAGGTTTTTAGGCCACCAAAAAGGCTCTTCTTCTCTCAAATGCCACCAATGAGAATGTGGAAGCAGACTGTGATTCGGAGATTTAGAACTCCACCTACCCCTCCCCTGACAACTGCTGTCCTACAGCCTCAGTTTCCTCATCTGTAAAATGGGGCTTACCTGTTTTGCCCCAGGCCTGGATAATGTACAAGAAGGACCAGGAAGTCTTGGGAGTAGGCAAAGCCTGATAGTCAGAACTAGGGCAAAGCCTAGATCCAAGGATGGAGAGCAAAGTAACCAATTTCTCCTGGAGGACAAGCTGAGGCTCTACACAGATGTGCAACCACTCCTCCTGCTCTAAGACACCATGGCCAGCAGAGGTTTTGATGGTTAAGTCCCCATAAAGTTGTACAGTATCTGAGCCTTGGATCCAGCAAGGTTTAAATCTGCCTTCCTCGAGAACACTGACCTGTCTGCCATTCAAACAGTTTCAGGGATTCTCAGATGTTGGAAAAGAAATGATCACATCTCTCTAGAGCAGAAGGACCTCAAAGGAAGCAGGATCAGCTACCTCATGGAAACAAGGTTGCTGTTCAGCTAGACACAATGGTCCTATACTACGCAACTGTGGTCCTGAGGGCATCCTGACAGCCAGACTCTGGAGAACCTTGGAGGCAAGCTCCAGTTCTCCAGCCTGGGACAGGGGAAACTGCCACTGGAGGAGCAGAACTCACAGTTCCTGACTGAGTGGAGGTTCTTCCTGATGCATGTATGGCTCAACTGCAGGGCCAACCCCAAACACCACGAAGGTTCTCAGGTTCTGGGCCTGGGTGTTTAGAGTCCTGAAGCTCAGGAAGGGATCCTGTGCTAGAGTCTAGGTGTTTCACGGTTCTGTTACCAGTGTCTAGTAACAAACTACAGGCACTCCAGGGACCCCGAGAGCCAGCGCAGCAAGGGCCATCTGGCCATACAACAGGGTTCTCAGATCAGACCTAGAAGAACCCCCTTTTCAGACAACAAAAAGAAAATCCCGCAGCTGTCAAGGGGCCACTCTAACTTTCCCGGCCTACTGACAGGCCCACAAAAGCAGAAGTGTGGGGTGGGAGGGCACACAGGACGCCCTACGCGCTACTCCCGCTGCCGCCCCAGGTAGCTGCAGGTTTCTGCAGACGGTGCCCCCACTACGTACACCTTCTTAGAGAGTGGGCCAACGCTTAGTCCAGGACAAGAGGGCACTCAAGGACAGGCAGGCACTGAGGGTCGCCTGCGTCTGAGGTTCCTGGGCTGGCCTGGAGTGACCCACACTACCAGCCTCCCCCCCCCCCCCCCCGACACCTCCCCTCCAGCTTGCCACAAGCCAGGCTGCTGCTCCCAAGGCAAACACGGAACATCCGGGCTGATGCCCCGAGGCCGAGCTCTAAGAGTCCTAGGCCGGCTGGCCCGCCGCCTACCCTGGAACTCACCTTAGCGAGCCAGCGGCGCCTCCTCAGCGCTCGCGGTCGGGCTAGGCGGGCGCGGCCCGGGTGCCGGCCCTCAGTCGGTTGACCCACAACTTCTACCTGAGGGCAGTAAAGGCCCCTTCGCGCCAGCCGCGATCCTCCGCCGGCTTAGCGCGTTTTCGGCCCCAAAGCTCCAGTCTCGGCCCGGCAACCTTACGCCGCCTCCGTAGAGCCCGCCGTCCCGCCCGGCCCACCCGGTACGCCTTACGCCTCCTCCGTAGCGTGGCGCCCAGCCGGGGCCCGCGGCTACGGCGCGTCAGGGGCGCACGCGGCACTGGGAATCGCGCCGGGACTACGGTTCCCACAGGGTAGAGCGACGGCGTTCAAGGCACGCCGGGAGTTGTAGTCCACGGACCGCCCTCTTCCCCGGGTATCTCGCTCTCGCAACGCGGAAGGAGCCGCTCAGTCCACCGATTCAGGTGCTACCCTCATGCCAGCGTAATGAGGTGCGTTGGCTCCGGGGAGATAATGAACTGCAGCTCCCAGGATGCTCTGCGAGGGACTTTTGGGCAATGCTCCGGCGGGCGTCCTCACCGCCTGAGTCTCACTGCGCCGGGGCGATGTTGGTAGTCTGTATCACGATTGTACTAGGTCTGAGGAGGTTGTCTGCGGCGCTGCGTCAGCCTGGCTGCATGGACTGCTCTCTACCTCTCCCAATCCCTTCACCGACTTCTGTTCTGTCCCAGTGGTCTGAAGCAGCAATCGTTCTGGACCTACTCGGGTCCGAGGCCCGTGCTTACTCGAGTGTGCCAGATAGACGCATCACTTTTCCTAGAGAAACACTGGCATCTAATTGAGACATCTTCCCAGGTTCTCTGAGCGATGTTTACAAGAGCCCCCAAGCTATTTCCCTTTTTGAGCCCTTTGGCTACCAGAAGTAAATGAATTACTCCTAGCCACTTGTCCTCTGCAGCTCGGAAGATGTACTAAGAATCAGGCTGCAGAGAGGGCACCACATAGCAAGGGGACACTAAAAAGAAGCCCCCGGGATGCCCTGCACTCTAGATGTTGTATGCGAGATTCGGTGACATGTGCCCCAGGACCCAGAAAACCTGAGCCTGGCTCAGTGGGGCCTACAGGTACTTAGTCACGTTTCTGGGAAATCACTCATGCTCCAGAAGCCAGCAAGGCAAAGACAGGCCATTGAACTCAAGATGCTGTGTGGGGACACCTGTGTCCAAATGTGGAAGACACCACATTTTGGCAACATTGGAGCAGAATCTGGCATCTGAGCACTCCAAGAAAAGCAGCTGGGGTTGAGCCCATTGATACGATGGTTGAAGTTACTGCTAACTCAGCAATGAGCAGTCACTTCCATGGTGAGTTGGGTATTATGGAGACAAGGAGAGACTAGAAGCAAGGCCTAGCATCATGGGGAAGATAGACCATTCACCCAGAAGACTGACTAGCCTGACATCATCAGTAGGTGAGGCTCATGGCTGAGTCAGAGGAATGGCCAAGAAGGATCCAGGACAGGACTTTGCAGCATCTCTGGTCACTATGGATTATCCTTAGTGCCATGATGCACCCCATTAAGCTGATTACACAGCAGGAGACTTTGGATCATCGTGGGTTGTTGGCTGAGCCCTGATCTATACTGGTGTAGTATGGGCCGTTAAGATAGAAAGAACTCTGCTGAGTGGTTAGACAAGAGGACACCTTGTAGAGGTCAAGAAGGGCACAGAAACCTCTGCAGGGACAGAAGCCACAGATCCAACAGCCTTGAGTCTCGAGTAGATGGGATGGCATACTGCTCTGGGCCTTGAGGACATAGCAATAACGGAAAAAAAAAAAAAAAAAAAAAAGACCTAGTGTGGGTATAGGTGCATAGTCTTACTCAGGAGGTTGAGACAGGAGGGTCACAAATTCAAAGTTGGCCTGGGCTAGAAAGTAAGTTCAAGGCCAGCATGATCAATAGGCTTTGTCTCAAAAAGTGGAGGGTTGAGACATGATGATGCCTTTAATCACAACAGTTGCACTAAAGCAGAGGCAGGCAGATTTCTCTAAGTTTGAAGTCAGCCAGGGCTAAAAAGTGAGATTTTTGTCGTAGGGTGATGGGCTGTGGAACAAACCTATTATTTCCAACACTTGGGAGGTAGAGACAGGAAGATCAGGGCCATCCTCAGTTTACATAGTGAGTTTGAGGACAACCCAAATCACATAAGACTTTGTCTCAATAAAAAACCAAAAAGGTATAGTTACAAAGGTGCATGCTGCAGATACCGTTCAGTGAGAGTGCTTACCTAGCACTGTGACACCCTAGATCTAGTGAGAAACTCAGCAGCTATTACAGAGTCAAAGATCTCCAATGGGTGAACACGTGCTTCGGCGTGACTGCAGCTCAGCCAGTCTGGTCTAAAACTCAGGTTTAAGTTTCTCTGACTTCCATGAGTGACATAGGACATAAGCCAGAACACCAACCTCATAGTGAATATCAATGGAGGTTCCTAGCTAATATTCCGTGCCGTGCTCCGGGTTTCTTCTGGGTTCCAAACTGCCAGGATGTTCAGGGCAGATATGTCTAGGCAGCTGCCATGGGTTCTAACCAGAAGTAAGGCTCCTTCCTGGGTTCACCAAAAGTGAGTGTTCCTCAGGGTAGTCAGGGAGGCCGGGTCAATTGAAATTTGCAGAGGCCAAGCTTCATTTATGCTGTTTTTGTTTGTTTGTTTGTTTGTTTTGAGACAGTTTCTCTGTGTAATAAATAGCCCTAGCTAGCTGTCCTGGAACTTGATTTGTAGACCAGGCTGGCCTCAAATTCAGAGATCCACCTGCCTCTGCCTCCAAGGTGCTGGGATTAAAAGCACTGTCACTGTGCCTGGCTGTTTATGCTGTTTTTAATGGATAACTGACCAACACTGGAAAGGTAAGAGCAACATCAGGAGCCAACTGGAGACAGATCTGCCTTGGAAAGGGAGTTCTACTTGCTGCAGGCTCAAGAGTTGGGAAGTCCCAACGACCACTCCCCCCCCCCCCCCCCCGTCAGAGGTGTAGTGAAGAGCCTGCTGGGGGTTATCACCTTCTGAAATTACCCTCCACATGGTAGGCCCCCACAAGAAATTCTTGGGAGGCTCTTTCTGGAATGTCTCTAACAACACATTTCAACCATGTGATCCTCTTCTACCATATCCCAAATGGGGAACTATCTTTCTGGGGTTCAGTGCCCTCAGATCTTCCACTGGAGGTTGACTAGACCATGCTTAACTGGAAATCAAGCTGAGGAGCCACCAGACTCTGGTGAGGTCCTCCTTGTTTCCAGCTTCTCCTAGAAACAGATGGGCCTTGCCGGTGTCAATCAAATGCCCGTGGTTAGAAGCTGGGTGGGAGGGCAGCCGGTGTGTGGCCTGCTGCTCTGATGACACCTTTTAGTACTTCCATAGTGCTGTCACTGACTACTGTGCCACCCCAGGCTTCAGTTCTTCAGCCCTTCAGATGGATTTCTGAGGCACGCTTGCCCTCTGGCTTTTGCCTACTCTCTTCCCTGCTTTGGAGTTCTGTGCTGGCCCCTCCTGGGGATGTCCCTCCTCGCACTCTCTACGGCTCGGAATATTTCACCCCTGACCGTACTACACTGCGACTCCTCTCAGATACAGGATGTGCAGCCCAGGGGTAAGTGCACTGTGCCCGAGATTTGTGATAATCACACCTATTCTTCCCCCTCTGCCCATCTGCCAATCTCAGCTGAAGCTTACTGTGCCCCACCCCCACCCCCGGGTTGTATTCAGGGCACAAGTCCTACCAGTTAAGGGGCTGTTGGAAGTCATTGGGACCTTGCTTTTAGAAATGACTCTCAGTAGAGATACTCACTTTAAGATTCAGACTCTGCCCAAGAAATAGCCCATCCTAGAGGAGCAATCCTGGGGCCTCAGGGTGGGTGCAACCTGATCAAGGCAGAAAACCAAGAGTCTCCCATGATTTGTACTTAAATGACCAATGTCACCTCCCTAGAAACCTGAGGGAAACAAAGGCCAGGCCCATAACCACCCCCACCCCACCACCCCTGTGTAGAAAGGAGCCGGCCTCTGTGTGCGGTAACAGCTTTAATCTGTTGTGGCTGACACATGGGACAGGATCCTGCTGGTCTCCCATCCTTCCATGCCCTGGAGGAAGAGCTACTTCTCAGGGAGCTGAAGCAGATGCTGTCTGTGAGCAAGTTGGTGATTGGTGTGTTTCCCAAGGTCTCCTGGAGACCTGTGTTTACAGTGAGCACTGCAGGGCAGACAGCAGAGACAGGCCAAGCCCTTGCACAGGACTTGGACCTGGGTACAGAAAGGCAGGGCTTCAGTATTGATATATTATACATATATATATATATATATATTTCATATGTATACACAGATAGTTTTCTCTCTGGAAAGTATTAAAAAATTGATCAACCTTCAATCTATAAAAAATACCTACTCTACATGATAGAAAAATCTCTCCTCCAAGTTTACACTGATTTACACACAAGGCTTTCCCCAAAATGTACAATACGAGGCAACATCTTAAACTGTAGTGTAGAAGGGGAGGCAGGTGGGGGATAGGCAGTGAAGGGATGCAGGGCAGCATGTGTGGGCACAAGCATATATACATTCACACTTGTGTGCACACTCATGCATGTACACACGCGCACGCGCGCACACACACACGCACACACACACACTCACACAGCCTATGGTGTGGTCTCACATGGTGTGCCCAGACTCCTGGCTAGTGCTCAGGCTCAGGCCCATGGACGCTGCACTCTGTGAGTGATGCAGGGGCAAGCAGCAAGTCTTCCTCGGCCTCTGGGTCTGTGTAGAGCCTTGTCCACCTACCCACCAGCAGAAGGACTCCTGGGGGACACCCAGGGATTTAAAGTCAAAAGCAGAGAAGGAAACTGTTCCGGAGGCCTAGACTATTGTCTGGGAAATGTCAACTTCTCCCAAGGCAGCAAAGCCAGCCTGAGGAGGGCGTGGGTCCAGGAGCCAGGGTAGGCCACACCTGAGGAGAAGCAGCACCTGCACCTGGGGTGTTCACCAGTCCAGGATGTGAGTTCCAATCAGCATGAGCTAGCTGCCCTAGCCCCCACAAGAGGACTGGAGCTGACGAGTTACTGTAGTGAGGATCTGGTCAAAGGATGGCTGTGTGGCTTGGAGGCCCTGGGTCCAAAGGTGGATGGAAGCCCATCTGGTGGGAGAAGGCC